TAAAGGTTATAGAATGCAACTTAAGCCAGTCAACCAATACTAGTGTTATATCATTACCTAAATGATATAAGTACCACTTGAATGTTTGTTCATCTTCTCAAATTTGGATCAATGATAATTCTGGAAGTACTTGGCTCAGCTCAACTTTAGAGCGCATACAGTACTAATAAGTAGGTATTCGTGAGATAAATCAACCAAGAATACCCGAATGACTTTATTATATAACTGAATTGAACTGAAAGGAAGTACAATATGTATTTGAAATTCAGAAATGTCTGAATTATTCTGGAAAACTCTAAAGTAACTGGGATAAACTTGCTTACTAAATGAACTAAGTAACCTCAATGACTGAGGATTAAATAGGTGATTGGATGAGTTTGGAAACACTATTGAATTTACATGATGAATTGTCCTTATGGGTTATGAACATGAATCAAGTACGTCCGTATTTCCTGATATCGTTGAAACATGGAAATGAAATAAAGACCGTTGGAAGATCTACTCAGTAATGATTTTGGGGATGATCTATGGATATGCATTTTGGTATTAAAGAGTGAATACACTGGAAGGATAATGAATTGATTTGTTGACATGCATCAGTCTGGGAGTTGTGTAACTCGAGTTGTTTGATAATACGATCGATAGTCATAGATTATAAATGACTTAAACCTTTGATTCTATATTTTCATCTAAAATCACTTTGGTTATGTTAGAAAATACAATTAACGTAGAAGGAAAAGATTTTGAAATGTCTGATTAGATCGGTTAGAAATCGATTCGCTTCAATAATATCTTATTCTTGGAATCCGATCAAATTGCACAAGTTCATGTTATCCTTATTGATAACTACAAAATGCATCTGAAAAATATGTGGATTCTCTAGTGTGTTCCTTATATTTTGAAAAATTATTTTATTGTTTGAACATGTGGTACACTGAAATCCATGGTTACTGTTTTATGCATGCACCGACTTAACGGTGATGGCTTATGGATTTGTATCATTGTATAAACTGTATCTTGAAGATACAGATTTGTAAAGTACAACTCTGATCAAGCTGGAAAATTTTTATGGACCTAATGTGACTCTTAGGTAGGCTCTGCGTCCCTGAGATCATTCTCGGTTAGGCCCTACGGCCCTAAGATGTGTTCTTAGGTAGGCCCCGTGGCCCCGAACTTTCTTGGGTAGGCTCTCAGGCCCTAAGATGTTCCCTTAGGTTAACTCTTTGTAAGATGGTTTTAAAATACGAGTTTAAAAAGCTCCACTACAATATGGTTTATGGGATTTTACTGAACTATCATTTGATTAGTGTACCTATTATGGTTTTATCGTACTGATAGAACACACTAGGCATCCTATTTGACCTCATGAAAACGTGATTATATGAAAGGTTTCTTATGAACTGAGATTCATGGCTTCTACTCGATGAACTACTAATAGAACCCCATATTTTTCTGCAATTGGTATACGTTTGATTCAATAAGAAAATTATTGCTTCCTATTTATCTGCATGTCACGTAGCATCATCTGGTAGTTTTGTATTACTGAGCTTTCCGAAGCTCACTCTATTACTCACCATTGCAGGTTAAAAGAATTGTACCAGTGCATCTATCGAATTCAGTAAGGGAGTTCTTCTGGGGTTCCTTGCAGAGTACGCTACATGTGATTAGGGGGCATGTAATTGAATTTTGTTTTATATACGAGTCTAAAAATCTGTGTTATTTCTTCGAACTGATAAATCATTTTATAATTTACATTTTTAATAAAAGTTTTAAATTTTTCGCTATTTTTACAGTGGGTCGCTCCGGTGGCCCTAATGTTACACTCCAGATCGGATCGGGTTAACCACATCGGTCTTAGGGGGGTTACATTTAGTGGTATCTGAGCTATGGTTGAGTCAAAATTTTTCAAGATAGACCGGCCGGTCGAATTTCAAAATGATGTATGATCAGTACATGCCCCTCTACTACAATCGTACATCTCTGAGCTGGAACCCCAAGGCTAAATTCTTATTTGTAATGAGCAAACCTAAGTTTCTATCCATTAGGACTCTATTGTTTTATTAAGGAATATCAGTAACGTTTGTCTAAATTCTGTAAAGCACCTCACGAGCCATGTGAGAGTTACTCATCTGAGAAATTCTGACCCGACTCCATAAATGAAATTGGGATATGTTACCGCTCCATGAGCCTATTCTCGTAACCAATGCTGAATTGATTCCACAAGGATAAATCTGTTCTGATTATTTTATTGGAATGAGGGAGTGTTCTGAAGAAAATGTATACTCAGCTGGTTTAAGATTAATAGATGACCAATACTTCTGTAAAAGCTACTTGAAGATATGATAGATTTGATTGAAGTTTCATTTCTGCAATTTTGTGGCATGAATGAATTTCGAGGACGAAATCCTTTTAAGGAGGGGAGAATTGTCACACCCTAATATGGGGTTAGGTTTCTTTTAGTTTAAAATATATGAAATGATATGAAGTTTGGATGGCAAATAATTATTTTATTAGACCATTATTTTATTAAACATATTGAAGATAATGAGTTAGATAGAAGTGGACAAATTGTTGGGTGTGATGGGATTAAATTATAATAATGGCATTGTCTGGAATCCATTGTTTCCAGCTTTCACTTTCGGCTATTATCCGCCAAAGCCACATACATTATAGTAGATGAGTTTGCAAACAGGTTCAAACATTTACATGTTGGAGTGAGGTTAGAGAAAGAGATCTTAGTGCCTTTCGACAAGTCAAGAGACCATAGAGCAGCATTGGCCTTCAAAAAAAAAATACTTGGTCTCCAAAATGGAACTTCTTAAGGCCTGTTGGGACAAAGAGTGTCTATTGATAAAGAGGAATTCGTTTATTTATGTTTTCAAGTTGGTCCAGATTATCATCATGGTAATCATTACTTCCACAGTGTTTTTGAGGACTGAATTACACACTAGGAACGAGCAAGATGCTGCAATCTATGTCGGTGCACTTCTGTTCGGAATGATCATCAACATGTTCAATGGTTTCTCCGAGCTCTCCATGATGATCAGTAGGCTTCCAGTGTTTTACAAGCAAAGAGACCTTCTATTCAATCCTGTCAGGACCTTCACTCTACCAACGTTTCTACTCCGGGTTCCAATATCTATTCTAGAATCCACTGTTTGGATGGTCGTAACATATTACACTACGGGATTTGCACCTGAGGCCCGCAGGTTTTTCAAGACATTCCTGTTGTTGTTTTTAGAACAACAAATGATAGCCGGGCTCTTTAGACTTATTGCTGGAATATGCAGAACAATGATCATAGATAACACTGGTGGGGCTCTCACTCTTCTCCTTGTGTTCTTGATCGAAGGCTTCATCATTCCAATTATGAGTTTTTTCTTTTTAAAATCACAAGTTTAAATATCATTTAAAAATTTGAAATTTTATTTTTATATTTCAACAACTAATAAGTGAATTAAATTAAACTAAGCATGGATCGAGCAGCATTGATTAAAATTTTGGTCTCGGTCGCGTTTTCGGTCATGTCTCGTTTACCGCGATTGTGGCCATAGCGGGCGCTATTGCGTCCATAGCGGGTATATCGGAAAGCAGTGCTATCATTATTTCACAGGCACTATCGCGGTCGCGAATCGAAATTTAAAACCCTCCCGAGGAGAGTGTTGGGGGAAGGTGCACCCCTGAAAATTATATATTCTCATATAAGTATTTTCTTTCAATTTTCTATTAATAATTTAAACTTACACCTCCTAAATTTCTATAAATTTGTATCCTTAATTTTCTAATATAATTTACTAAAATTTTACATCCCTAGCATTAAATTTTAGGTTTATCTCTAAATTAAATGATTAAAAAAATATCTTATTTACTGGTTCATGCAAATTATAATATACAATTTAATATTATAAATTTATATTTTAATTTAATGAAGAGTAAAGTTACACCTGAAATACCTTACAGCTTACACAGTACACAAAATATTAGAAAAATATAAAGACAAAAACTGCATGTAATATATAATTTATATAAATTAAATCACTATTATAATAAATATTATGATATAGATCTAGACTTTTGTCATTCTTATTTTTTTTAAGGAATATAATATTAAATTTATTATCATGGTTTATTTTTAAAGGAATTTGAAAGGTTCTAGATATGTTTGTAGAGTTTGGGCATTTTCCAATGAAACAGACATTGGATTCGAGTTTATAAAGTTAAAAATGAGTGAATTACAAATTTTAGTGTTTAGCGACCGTCAACGATGGCAATCGGTAGCAGTGGAGGATCTAGAAATTTAGAAATAAGGGTCCAAAAATTAGTACTCTTTTTTCAATATAATGGGTATGTAAAATTTCTTAATTTTTTTCTTCTTCCATTAATATATTGAACTATATTTAATATCTAATCTAAAATAATGGGTATGTAAAATTTCTTAATTTTTTTCTTCTTCCATTAATATATTGAACTATATTTAATATCTAATCTAAAATAATGCGTATGCATTTGACCCCTTATGGGACCATATGCATTCGCCTCTGATCGGTGATGAGAACCGACAATTATCGACAACAGTGATGAGTGACAAATGGTGACAGAGACTTTGATTGAATTTAGAGATCAAATTGATACTTTATCTAAAGATCAAATATTAAATTAATATTTTATCTAAAGTTTAAGAGTGAAATTAATATTTTATTTAAAATTTAAGATTAAATTAATATTCTACCGAAAATTTAGAAATCAAATTAAAATTTAATCAATTTTATTAACATGGTACATCATCAAACTAACAAAAATAAATAAATAAATAAAGTCTAATAACCAAAATATAATGAATCAATAACATAAATAATCAAATCATTACTTTTTCAAAACCAATAACTAAAGTAAGATAGGTCAAAAACAATACGGATCGTTAGTACTTGTATATTTTTACCCCTTGGATACTATGTTAAAAAGATTTACCGAAATGGCATTATATTTGGAGTAAATTCCAATTAGCATACCTTTAGAAGAGGATTATCAGGAGCTAGTGCTTCGGCGACAAACTGCGGGCCCAGCGCAGAACCTCCAATCCCAACTGATAGTATCTGAGTAAAACGACCCTCAGGCGAAGGAGGAGGCTTAATCTATAATTAAGCTAATTGATTACAAATTAATCCGGATTAAACAATGATGACCAGTTAGTTTGTTGACGAGGGTTAAGTAGGGGTGTGCAAAAAATCCAATCCGATCCGTTGATCCGATCCGAAAATTCGGATATCCGATCCGTTTTTCAATTTTCAGATAGTTCGGATCGGGTATCTGGAATTTTTTTCGGATTTTCGGATCGGATACGGATCGGTCAAAATCCAATTTTGGATTATCCGAAAACCCGAAAAAATTGGACTATATTATTAGCCTAGAGCTGTTTGGGCTTGTTCTGCCATTTCCTTTTACTTCTCGCCCAAAATTTCGCTTATTGTTTCAAAGGAATTCAAACCCTAATTTCATTTATGTGTTTCTCGTCGTCCCATACCGCCCTTCCCCTGATTATTTCTCATTTTTTGTTGCTTCTTGCTACCAATTCATAAAGGTGCGTTTCCCGATCAAAATCTATTTACTTAAAATGCTTGTTTCCATCTTTTAAGAATTGTCGAGTGTTTGAATGAAATCGAGCTTTTCCTAATATGTTTATGCGCATCGTTTGATTAAACATGAAACATGCTTCACTTTTTTAATTATTGGGTCAGCAAACGTTTGAATTTTTAAAAAATTTCCATTTTAGGTAATTCTAGATTAGAGATATTTTAGTACTTACGAGCAGGATTTTATTCAGGTTTAGCGAAGTTTTTTGACTTTCGATTAGTAGCGAGTTGAAGATTTTAGAAAATGGAGAAGTTGATAGGATTTTAAAGCGTCAATTCATTCATTATTTATTTTGAAGGAGCTTATTGAATTTACAATTAAGGACTCCATGTTGTTAGTGATTGATTTTTGTTTCATCATTTATGTAAACTTATGGTTGGAGAATTTCATAAAGTTGAGTTAAAAGTTGTATGGATTCAACATATTTTTCACACAAGGCCAAAATTACTGAGAATGTGATATTCGATACTGTGATGGATAATTCTAAGCTATTTCAGTTCCCAGAAATTCATTCTTTAACTAAGAGCGCTTATTTTCTAGGATTTTATCGTAAATCGAAGTTTAATTTATGGTTGATTGTAAGGTAATTGTTAGCATCAGAAAAAAGTTTCATGTGGTTTGAATTGACACATTGAATCATCATTATTTTCTAACAGCACATGTGCTAATATACTGTCAGTGGAGGCTGCAACAAATCTTAATTTGGTTTCAGTTTAACTAATTGTGTTAGAAATCTTTTATATTAAATTTTGTAATTTATTTTATTGCTTGTTTACAGAATATGTCATCTTTTGATGATAATGGAGATTTTAATTCCGTATTTGTTGACTCGATGATGGATTCTGATGAGGAGGGAAGACAAAATTCAGCAGCAAAAAAAGCTTCTCTCGATAAAAATACCGGAAAGAGGAAGAGAAAGTCCAAGTGGTGGAGTCATTTTTCAGTTGATGAGGAGGATCCCACTTTTGCTTCCTGTAAGTATTGTCAGAAACTTATTGGTTGTAAAACCAAAAATGGCACTACACCTTTAGCAAATCACATTAGTAGGTGCAAAACATATCCTCCAAATTTGGATAAGAAACAAAAATTGATTGATTTTGAAAGTGAAACGTTGGTAAATGAAGATGGAAGTACTGAAATAGTTAGCGTTCCAAAATGCTGGAAATTTGATCATGATTTGTGTAGGAAGAAGCTTGCTAAAATGCTTATTGTGGATGAATTGCCTTTTGCTTTTGTCGAACGTGAAGGTTTCATTGAATTCTGCAAGGCTTTAAATCCTCTCTTTAAGCTTCCTTCTCGTACAACTGCCACTAGAGATTGTTATTTACTTTTTATTGAACAAAGAAATGAGTTGAAAAAGACTTTTAAGAACTTACATTCTAGGGTTTGTCTAACCACAGACACTTGGACATCGGGTCAAAATTTAAGCTATATGTGTTTGACAGCCCATTTTATTGATGATGAATGGAATTTGCATAAGAGTATAATTAATTTTTATCCAATTGCTGGTCATTTCGGACAACTTATTGGCAGAGCTGTTGAAATTTTTTTTTATTAAATGGGGTTTGAAAAACATTATGACTATAACTGTAGACAATGCTAGCTCAAATGATTTAGCAATTGAATACTTGAGAAGAAGACTTACCATTTGGGAGTCTAGTTTATTGGAGGGTCAATATTTACATATGATATGTGCGTCCTATATTTTGAATTTGATTATGAAAGAGGGTTTGAAAGAACTTGATTTTTCCATTATGAAAGTTCGAGCTCTTGTGAGATATGTTAGATCTTCTCCCGCTAGACTTCAAAAATTTAAAACTTGCATAGAAGAGGAGAAAGAGGATAGCAAAAGTCTTGTTACTTTAGATGTTGAAACTAGATGGAATTCAACTTTCCTAATGCTCGAATCTGCTATCAAGTTTAAAAAGGCATTTGCTAGTTTATACAAGAAAGAATCCTCTTGTTTCAAGGAGCTTAAAAAGGTTGGTGGTGGTCCCATTGAAGATGATTGGAAGAGGGTGAGTAGTTTTTTTACCTTTCTTGAGCATTTTTTATGATGCAACATTGAGGTTATCTGGTTCTCGTTATGTTACTTGTAACCATTATGCACACGAGATTTACGGGACTAGATTAATGATTTCCAACATAAGTGATGTTGATGAGGGTATTAAGAAAATGGCAGCCCAAATGATGTCTAAGTATGATAAGTATTATGGGAACATTGATAATATCAATATTATGATGTTTGTGGCTGTGATCCTTGACCCTAGGCACAAGTTGAATTATGTTAATTGGATTGTGCATTATTCTTATGATGAAACACAAGCCACTCTTTTGTTCCTCAAAATTAAGATGGTTTTGCAATCTTTATTTGACTCATATGCTTCTTCAATGCCTCCTTCAAAGACAAGTGATATGTCTTCCTCCACGTCTACTTCTTTATCTAATTTCACTCAAGGTGGGACTCAAAGTGGAGGTAAGATTGATCTTCAACAACTTATGGCTTCAACATTTCAAAGGGATACGGTTGTTTGTTAACTAGTGCCAATAAAAATGAGTTGGAGAAGTATTTAGAAGATGCTTGTGAGTCTCATGTTTCAAATTTTGATATCCTACAATGGTGGAAAGATCAACCAAAAAGATACCCGATTCTTAATAGGAGGGCTAAAGATGTACTTTCCATACCTATCTCGACTGTAGCTTCTGAGTCGGATTTTAGTACGGGAGTCATGTCCTTGATTCTTTTCGAACTTCATTGACTCCAAAAATGGTTGAAGCACTTGTTTGCACTCAAGATTGGTTACGCACCTTTCGGTCACCTATTATAATAGAAGAACGTTTAATTGAATTGGAAGAGTTGGAGGAAGGTAAGTTTATTTTTATGTTTGATTGCTTTTTTTATTCAATATTTAAAGTTTAAACATAAATTTATATTTTAATCTTTTTATTTTATTTCGTGTGATGTAGGCATGAAGGATCTAACTTTAGAGCAACCGGAGATCATAATTGACGAGACAATTAATACTTTGGATGATTTGTAAAATTTGTACTTTGAAACTTTGAAGTACTTAGCGATCCTACTATCTCTATTTTAATGTTATTAAGACTTGATACTCTTGTGTGGTATTTTATTTTGAATATCTTGTGTTGATTTGATTGTGTTGTTGAGATTTGATACTCTTGTGTGTTAATTTTAATATGAACATCTTGTGAAGATCGGTTCTATTGTTTTTATGTTCCAACTCTTTTTAATTTCATGGTTCACAAATATTATTATTTTAATATGCACCGAGTCCTCATTGTTCATGACCTTAGGTTGCTTCACAAATCAAAATATAATGCAGTCCTCAAATACATTTTAAGTGGAGCTGTTTAATATCATGGTTTACACAGAATGTTCCAACTCCTTTTTTTTCAAGTTGGTTGTAGTTGTCTTTTATTGTTGTCTTAAGAGTGAAGTGGAGCAATAATTTTATGCTTATGAAATGGGCTAGCCGATAGAAGTGAGCAGAAGGCATTCAAATATACTGGAATTACTTGCTTTAATCCAGGTTCATTCTCAGACGATAACACATATGTTGCATATAGGCCTTGCAACCAGGAAGTTGAGTTTTCAGCCTTGTGAATATCTAAAGTTTATGGCTTCCATATCCTTTAGCATGCTGGAACAAAGAAATGCCATTATTTTCAGTTGTCAATTGAGAAATTGTTATGATTAAATTATTAGTGTGATAGCATTTGTAAATTTGCTGTGTTGTAAAGTATCTCACCAGTTTTGCTTGAAGATTATGAATAACAATGGGATAATTTACGCGTTTAGTATCTAAATTATCAGTTTTAGTACTTAAACTTTTAATTTTATGTTAATTAATGCTTTTATTATATTGATATTTTTTAATTTTTTGTAAAAAAAAATTCGGATCCGGATATTCGGATATCCGAATTTTTCGGATCGGATACGGATCATTACTTTAGGTATCCGAAAATTTTGGATATCCGAAAATTCAGATCGGATACTATCCGATATCCGATAATGCACACCCCTAGAGTTAAGAGCGGAATCGGCAAAGCTAACCTTACCGCTGATGATGTCATCAGCAAAATTAGAAATGGCTGCTAGAGTGTTGTCGATCTGTACTTGCAGAAATGAACTCGGCTCGAGTTTAGCGTTCCTCAGCCAATAGTGGCCCACCATCCGCACTTCATCGGGATTGGCGATGGCGCCTTTCTCCAATCCATCCATGGCTTTAAAGTCGGCTTGTAATTGGGGCTCTATTTCAAAAACGAACTCATTCGATAAACCAATCCGACTGACATCGAGGTACAACCCGAGCTCCTTATGCTGGTACAACCAGTCAACGTATCTCTTCAACAGAGCTTTAGGATCTTTCTCGAGTCCACCTTGTTTGGCGACGTCGTTGGTTTTGGAAAAATCGATAGATACCTCAGGAGCGACGGAGAGTTTAGAGCCGGAGTTGGAACGAGTGGAAAACGGGAGTGTGTACTTCAGAACTGAAGGATTGAGTTCGGCGATCGGGTTAGGCTTAAGCTTCAAAGAAGGAAAAGAAGAGAAGAGGCTTGAGAGAGAGGCCATTGAAAGAACAGATTCAAATGAAATCAACGCGATCGGGGGGTCTGCATTGAATAATAATTTATTATGAGCTGAGCCTGAATTGTTCACTTTTGTTTACTGGAATTGAGCTGAGCTGAGCTGAGCTGGGAATGGTGGTTTTTGTTAGAGTATGCTCAAAGACCAATTATATGACGATTGTAATAATAATTTTATTTACCGATTTTATTGAATAAAGACATTACCGCTATTATTTTCATTTATATATATGTGTTTAACATAAACTAGAAGATAATAAAGTTCATATGACATAATTGTTATTATTAAAAGATCTCTAGTCAAGTATTATTATGGGCATGGACAATAATAATACGCTTAAGACTAACATGTTATTTATTGATGACAATGAGTTGTCATTGACATAGAGATATCAAAATTGATACATGATTATATTGTTAGAGAACAATGTATTGGATTGACCGACCATGAGCATATGTCTTGGATTATTATGTGAAAGTCAAAACATTGCTCATGGTAATGACTATATGTATGATCCTCAGACTTGAGATCAATATTATCCCAACATATATTGTTGTATGTTTTGATGCAGCTAAACAAGCTCCGTAACTGGTTGCTCTATAAAGACTGTTATTGAATATATCTCAATATATGTAGTGGGTGTGTATGATTAAGATAGGATTTGTCCTTCCTATAAAATATAAAATATATCACAGGCCACTTGATTGAGTAAGACTAGAAATGCATGGCTATGCTCGAATAAGTTGATATGAGATATCATAAACTATTCGTTAATTAAAGTATACTCTAGATATCAAGAAATAATAGATGGGTTATACAAGTGTGACTATTCCAAGACTTGTGCCTATTCTAGATATAAAGGACATAAGGATGTCATACATAAAAGAGTAATCACCAAGATGATATGTCGAATCATATTTTCTTGTAACTTAGGTGAGAATGATATATTGCTAGATGTCACTCATTGTATGTAATATTAGAATATTTCTAATAATTACTGCTAACGTTACAAGAACCTACAAGGTCATACCCTAGGATTGAAATGAGCAAAGATGTACAATTTGTTGTATGTTACTAAAATATATGTTTTAATAATCCCGAATATTTAATTTCAATTAATTAATTAAATATAGATTTAATTAATTTAAAATAATAAAATCCCTAATATGATTAGGGTAACTTGGATATAAGAGGATTATTAAATTCCAATTAATTAAATATAGATTTAATTAATTTGAAAAAATAAAACCCTAATATGATTAGGATAACTTGGCTATAAAAGGGAGTGTTAGGTCTAACAGTCGTTTTTGCAACAAGCACACAAACCCTTCAGCCATTTTCTCTCAAAATAGTTTTGGGGAAAACAAATATTTCTCTCAATCGGGTGAACTGAGTAGAGGCCGAGACGTGATTTCGTGGAGGCTTTCAATTTGAATCGATCTACACCACCGTATTCACTGCTGTTCTTGCTGTTTTCAAGGAACCCATTGTAAGTATTTGCATCTCTTCCTCCCGATTTCGATTTTTCGTACTTGGATCGCTGGTAAGATAGTCGAGTTTTGTTTCCGCTGCGCCATGGGGTACGCCGACGGTCCCAACAGTGGTATCAGAGCCACTTGTACGATCTGATTTTAGGTTCAATTTTTGGTTGATGCGATATGTATGAGATGCATGTTCTAGTTTTATCGATTTCGGTAAATATGTTGATATCATTGTTCGAATCGATACCCGCAATGATTAATATGTTAATTTGTTAATATGTTTTTCAATCGATTTGTTACTGGATGATCTATGGGAGTGCGATAGCATATCGCGTTTAGCAGTGGAACAATGGTTTTTTCGATGTAGAAAACCATCGGGGTTGAAAATCCCAAAAGAACGATTTTGTTAATAATTGTTATCAAAGCGTGAAGTTTTTCATGGAAACAGAAGTACTATTTTTCAAAAAAAATCCTACCAGCCGCCCCTTGACCCCTTATCAACATTACAAATTGAAGGCCCATATTAATATTTTTAACAAAGGCATAACAATGTGTATATATATATGATATGTTTGTTTTGCATGGTGTTTGATATGCATGGTTATAACCCTTGTTCAATTCACAATGGTTTATTTTGAAATACGGTCTGCGAGCCGGGCCTTTTTATATCTCTGTTGTATTTCTTTGATCATCTTACTCCCTCGTATGTAAAACGAGTTTCTTTTAAAATTGTAAATCTATGAAGATTTACAAGGAGCAGAAGAATGGCGAGAAGATGCCTAGAGAGCAGTCTTAGGCTTTAGGGTTATTGGTTCTCCCATTGGCTTGGGATGGGCCACCTTAGTCATTGGTTTGGGATATAACCATTGCTTTTTATTGTTAGAGTATGCTCAAAGACCAATCATATGATGATTGTAATAATAATTTTATTTACCGATTTTATTGAATAAAGGAATTGTCGCTATTAGTTTCATATATGTGTTTAACATAAACTGGAAGATAATAAAGTCCATATAATGACATAATTGTTATTATTAAAAGATCCCTAGTCAAGTATTATTATGGGCATGGACAATAATAATACGCTTAAGACTAACATGTTATTGATTGATGACAATGAATTGTCATTGACATAGAGATGTCAGAATTGATACATGATTATATTGTTAGAGAACAATGTATTGGATTGACCGACCATGAGCATATGTCTTGGATTATTATGTGACAGTCATAACATTGCTCATGGTGATGAATATATGAATGATCCTCAGACTTGAGATCAATACTATCCCAACATATATTGTTGTATATTTTGATGCAGCTAAACAAGCTCTGTAACTGGTTGCTCTATAAAGACTGCTATTGAATATATCTCAATATATGTAGTGGGTGTGTATGATTAAGATAGGATTTGTCCTTCCTACATAATAGGAAATATATCACAGGCCACTTAATTAAGTAAGACTAGAAATGCGTGGACATGCTCGAATAAGTTGATATAAGATATCATAAAGTATTCGTTAATTAAAGTTTACTCTATATATCAAGAAACAATAGATGGGCTATACAAGTGTGACTATTCCAAGACTTGTGCCTATTCTAGATATAAAGGACATAAGGATGTAATACATAAAAGAGTAATCACCAAGATGATACGTCGAATTATATTTTCTTGTAACTTAGGTGACAATGATATATTGCTAGATGTCACTCATTGTATGTAATATTAGAATTGTTCTAATAATTACTGCTAACGTTACAAGAACCTACAAGGTCACACCCTATGATTGAAATGAGCAAAGATGTACAATTTGTTGTACGTTACTAAAATATATGTTTTAATAATCCCGAATATTTAATTTCAATTAATTAATTAAATATAGATTTAATTAATTTGAAATAATAAAATCCCCAATATGATTAGGGTAACTTGGATATAAGAGGATTATTAAATTCCAATTAATTAAATATAGATTTAATTAATTTGAAATAATAAAACCCTAATATGATTAGGGTAACTTGGCTATAAAAAGGTGTGTTAGGTCTAGCAGCCGTTTTTGCAACAAACACACAAACCCTTAAGCCTTTTTCTCTCAAAATAGTTTTGGGGAAAACAAATATTGCTCTCAATCGGGTGAACTGAGTAGAGGCCGAGACGTGATTTAGTGGAGGCTTTCGATTCGAATCGATCTACACCACCGTATTCACTGTTGTTCTTGTTGTTTTCAAGGAACCCACTGCAAGTATTTGCATCTCTTCCTCCCGATTTTGGTTTTTTGTACTTGGATCGCTGGTGAGACCGTCGAGTTTTGTTTCCACTGCACCATGGGGTGCGCCGATGATCCCAACAGTGGCATCAGAGCCACTTGTACGATCTGATTTTGGGTTAAATTTTTGGTTGATGCGATATGTATGAGATGCATGTTCTAGTTTTATCGATTTCGGTAAATATGTTGATATCATTGTTCGAATCGATACCCGTAATGATTAATATGTTAATTTGTTAATATGTTTTCAATCGATTTGTTACTGGATGATCTATAGGAGTGCGATAACAGATCGCGTTTAGCAGTGGAACAATGGTTGTTCTGATGCAGAAAACTTTCATGATTGAAAATCCCAAAAGAACGATTCTGTTGATAATTGTTATCAAATCGTGAAGTTTTTCATGGAAACAGAAGTACTGTTTTTGTACAAATTGAAGGCCCATATTAATTGAAGGCCCCTTGACCCCTTATTAACAGTACAAATTGAAGGCCCATATTAATATTTGTTAACAAAGGCGTAACAACGTGTGTGTATATATATATATGATATGTTTGTTTTGCACAGTGTTTGATATGCATGGTTATAGCCCTTGTTCAATTCACAATGGTTTATTTTGAAATACGGTCTGCGAGCCATGCCTTTCTATATCTATGTTGTATTTCTTTTCTCATCTTACTCACTCGTATGTAAAATGAGTTTCTTTTAAAATTGTAATTCTATGAAGATTCACAAGGAGCAGAAGAATGGCGAGAAGATGCCTAGAGAGTAGTCTTAGGCTTTAGGGTTCTTAGTTCTCCCATTGGCTTGGGATGGGCTACCTTAGTCATTAGATTGTGCTATAACCATTGCATCTTATTTATTTCTATATTTGTTATGTATGCAATGCATCAAATGATATAATAAGAATAAATATTGATGAGATCAATAAGGGCCTAATATTAAAACGAACAATGATGAGATAATTACGCAAATCCCTCTTTATAATCTAAGTTAACTTAACCGTTTAATATTTACCCTCGTTAAGGCTTTGATCGATATTGTCCGGGCCTTGCCAAAGCATTGGCACATAAATCTATCTTGGTTAAACGTGAAGAATAAGCAAGTGATATTCACCGGTTGAAATATTGGTAATAACTTAGCTAGGTTATTCTAATAGGATTAGAAACCTAGAGGTTAAATATTTGGATAAGTCATAAGATGACTTGAACAAAAGTTGTTCACCAAAATGAGGAGTTACAAGAGATGTAACTAGTCAAGTGTTACTTACCTAAATAATCACTATCCTAAAAGAAAAGCTAAAGCTGATTTAGGAAATTGATGTATTATGGATCCTCACCCACTAGAAAAATTTTGTTGAATTTTTCTGAAATTAAAACAAAGAGGGTTTTTAATTTTGAATAAAATAGTGGGAGTAATTTGTAAATAAAGTCCTATTTATAAATTTTAATTCGGTAAATTTACTTACTTTAATATTTCTATTGTTGTAGATTTAATGGCAAACAACACTTTATCACTGCGATCACTCCTTGAGAATGATAAACTTAATGGCATAAACTTCCTTGACTGGTTTCATAATTTGAGAATTGTTATCAAACAGGAAAGGAAGGAATATGTCATTGAGGAACCTGTTCCTGATGAACCGGCAGCTAATACTTCAAAAGCTGACAAAGACAAGTTCAAGAAACATATGGATGATATGTTAGATGTTGGATGTCTAATGCTTGCCACCATGACTCCTGAGCTTCATAAGCAACATGAGGACATGGTTGCATATGAGATGATTCAAAATCTCAAAGAAATATATGAAGGGCAAGCACGTCAAGAGAGATATGAGACCTCTAAAGCTCTATTTCAATGTAAAATGACATAGGGAACTCCTGTAGGAGCTCATGTCATCAAGATGATGGGCTACATCCAAACGTTGGAAAAGCTGGAATTTCCTCTCAAAGATGAATTGGCTACCGATGTTATCCTGCAATCGTTGCCAGATAGCTTTAGCCAATTTGTCCTTAATTTCAATATGAATAAAATTAACAAAACTTTTCCATAGTTACTTGGCATGTTACTAACTGCTGAAAGTAACATGAAAAAGGTTGGACCTAAGCCCATTCTGATGGTCCACAAGGACAAAGGAAAAGGAAAGAAAAAGGTAGTGGCAAAGTCTATGGGAAATGGTAAGACCAAACCAATAGGGAAAAATGCATTGAAACCCAAAGGGGGAGTTAGCAAAGAATGAAAAATGTTTCCATTGCGATAAGACCAGACACTGGAAGAGAAACTGCCTTGTTTACCTTGAAGAGGTCAAGAAGGCAAAAGAAATCGGAACGTTTGTTTCAGGTATTTATGTTATTGATGTTAATTTGTCAACATCTACTTCTTGGGTATTAGATACCGGTTGTGGTTCTCATATTTGTACTTTTGTATAGGGAGTGAAAAAGAGAAGGATCTGGCTAAAGGAGACGTGGACCTACGAGTGGAAAATGGAGCAAGAGTTGTTGCATTATCTATAGGGACATATGTTTTATCTTTGCCTAGTGGACTTGATTTAAATTTAGAGGATTGTTATTATGTGCCTAGTTTGACTAAGAACATTATTTCTATTTCTTGTTTGGACAAGATTGGCTTTGAGATTATTATTAAGAACAATTGTTGTTCTTTTTATCTCGATAATGTTTTTTATGGTTCGGCACAATTGGTTAATGGTCTTTATATTTTGGATCAAGATAACGCCATTTATAACATAAATACTAAGAGATCAAAAAACAAATGACTTGAATCAAACTTATCTTTAGCATTGTCGTTTAGGCCATATAAGTGAGAAACGCATATCAAAACTTCATAAAGATGGATTCTTAGATTCATTTGTTTTCGAACAATATGATGTATGCGAATCTTGCTTGTTGGGGAAAATGACTAAAGCTCCTTTTAATAGTAAATGTGAGCGAGCAAATAATTTATTGGGGTTAATTCATAGTGATGTATGTGAACCAATGATTCTATTACTTCATTACTTTTACCGATGACTTTAGTCGGTATGGGTATATTTATCTTATGCGCCATAAATCTAAAGTCCTTAAAAAGTTTAAGGAATTTAAAAATGAAGTACAAAATCAACTAGGAAAGAGTATTAAGGAACTTCGATCAGATCGAGGTGGAGAATACTTAAGCATAGAGTTTGATGAACTCCTAAAAGAATGTGGGATTGTCTCACAGCTTACACCACCTGGTACACCACAGTGGAACAGAGTTTCTGAAATAATGAATCGAACACTGTTAGACATGGTTCGATCGATGATGAGTCATAGTGATCTTTCGACTTCTTTTTGGGGACATGCACTTGAAACAGATGCTTTCACACTAAATCGTGTTCCATCTAAATCGGTTCAAAAGACACCATACGAGATATGGACTGGGAAACGTCCCAGTATGTCTTTCATGAAGATTTAGGGTTGTGAAGCTTATATAAAACATCAGATGTCTACAAAGCTCGAACGTAAATCTCATAAGTGTATATTCGTTGGATATCCTAAAGAAACTAAGGGATACTATTTCTTCAACCCTAACGAGAACAAAGTGTTTGTTGCTCGAACATGAGTTTTTCTCGAAAGAGAATTTCCCTTAAAGAAAGGGAAGGGTAGAAATATTGAACTTGGAGAAGTTCAATAACCTGAAGATGAGCTTGTTTCACAAGTTGTTGAGGAGCATTCAATAAATTTTAAAACACAATCACTGCGTAGATCTTCAAGAGAACATCATATACCTGAGAGATTTGGATTTCTCGTTACGACACATGGAGACGTTCTTCTTATTGATCAAGATGAGTCCAAGACTTATCAAGATGTAGTGTCTAGTCCAGACTCTGAGAAATGGCTTGAAGCCATGAGATCTGAGATGGATTTCATGTCAATAAACCAAGTATGGACTTTGGTTGAACCACCTGAAGGGGTCAAACCTATAGGGTATAAATGGGTTTTCAAGAAGAAAATCGATATAGATGGTAATGTACAAACATACAAGGGACGATTAGTCGCTAAAGGTTTTCGACAAGTTCATGGTGTACACTATGACGAAACATTCTCCCCTGTAGCTATGTTTAAGTCCATCCGGATCCTGCTCGCAATAGCTACATTCCATGATTATGAAATCTGGAAAATGGATATCAAACTGCCTTCCTTAATGGAAAACTTGAAGAGGATGTGTATATGACACAACCAGAAGGTTTTGTCTTTCCAGGAAATACTGGAAAGGTTTATAAGCTACAGAGGTCTATTTATGGACTAAAGCAAGCTTCTCGAAGCTGGAATCTTCATTTCAATGATGCAATCAAAGAGTTTGGTTTTATCAGAAATGAAAATGAGCCTTGTGTTTATAAGAAGGCTAGTAGGAGCATTGTTTCTTTCCTAATCTTATATGTAGACGATATACTCATCATAGGAAATGATATACCTACTTTACAGTCTGTTAAGACTTGGTTAAGTAATTGTTTTTCTATGAAAGATTTAGGTGAGGCAGCGTATATCTTAGGAGTTAAGATCTATAGAGACAAATCAATACGACTTCTAGGTCTGAGTCAAAGTACATATATAGACAAAGTGCTGAAAAGGTTCAGTATGGAAGAATCCAAGAAAGGATTTTTACCTATGAGACATGGCATTTCTCTTTCTAAGGAAATGTGTCCTTCAACTCCACTAGAAAGAGAACAGATGAATAAGATTCCATATGCTTCGGCTATTGGTTCTATATGTATGCCATGATATGTACTCGACCAGATGTATCGTATGCTCTAAGCACGACGAGTCGGTATCAAGCAAACCCTGGTGAAAATCACTGGGTTGCGGTTAAAAATATCCATAAGTACTTAAGAAGAACTAAGGATAAATTTCTTGTCTATGGAGGGGATGAAGAGCTTAGTATAAAAGGTTATATTGATGCCAGCTTCCAAACTGACAAGGATGACTCACGATCGCAATCGGGTTTGTGTTTGTCTTAATGGAGGTGCTGTGAGCTGGAAAAGTTCGAAGCAAGACACAGTAGCTGATTCTACAACAGTGGCTGAATATATTCCAGCTAGTGAAGCAGTAATAGAGGATATTTGGATCAAGAAGTTCATATCGGAATTAGGGGTTGTTCCCAGCATATCAGATGTTGTAGAACTCCGTTGTGACAATAATAGAGCCATTGCACAAGCAAAGGAACCAAGATCTCATCAACGATCCAAACATATTCTTAGGCGTTTTCATCTCATTCGAGAGATCATTGATCGAGGAGATGTGGAAATATGTAGAGTACACACGGATGACAATATTGTTGATCCCTTGACAAAGCCTCTTACACAGCAGAGGCAAGATCGTCACACTGAGTCACTCGGTATTAGATATGTGATTGATTAGTCTTAGTGCTAGTGGGAGATTGTTAGAGTATGCTCAAAGACCAATCATATGATGATTGTAGTAATAATTTTATTTACCGATTTTATTGAATAAAGGCATTGCCGCTATTATTTTCATATATGTGTTTAACATAAACTGAAATATAATATAGTCCATATAATGACATAATTGTTATTATTGAAAGATCCCTAGTCAAGTATTATTATGGGCATGGACAATAATAATACGCTTAAGACTAACATGTTATTGATTGATGACAATGAGTTGTCATTGACATAGAGATGTCAGAATTGATACATGATTATATTGTTAGAGAACAATGTACTAGATTGACTGACCATGAGCATTTGTCTTGGATTATTATGTGACAGTCATAACATTGCTCATGGTGATGACTATATGTATGATCCTCATACTTGAGATCAATACTATCCCAACATATATTATTGTATGTTTTGATGCAGCTAAACAAGCTCCGTGACTGGTTGCTCTATAAAGACTATTATTGAATATATCTCAATATATGTAGTGGGTGTGTATGATTAAGATAGGATTTGTCCTTCCTACATAATATAAAATATATCACAGGCCACTTGATTGAGTAAGACTAGAAATGCATGGCTATGCTCGAATAAGTTGGTATGAGATATCATAAACTATTCGTTAATTAAAGTCTACTCTAGATATCAAGAAATAATAGATGGGTTATACAAGCGTGACTATTCCAAGACTTGTGCCTATTCTAGATATAAAGGACATAAGGATGTCATACATAAAAGAGTAATCACCAAGATGATATGTCGAATCATATTTTCTTGTAACTTAGGTGAGAATGATATATTGCTAGATGTCACTCATTGTATGTAATATTAGAATTGTTCTAATAATTACTGCTAACGTTACAAGAACCTACAAGGTAATATCCTAGGATTGAAATGAGCAAAGATGTACAATTTGTTGTATGTTACTAAAATATATGTTTTAATAATCCCGAATATTTAATTTCAATTAATTAATTAAATATAGATTTAATTAATTTGAAATAATAAAATCCCCAATATGATTAGGGTAACTTGGATATAAGAGGATTATTAAATTCCAATTAATTAAATATAGATTTAATTAATTTGAAATAATAAAACCCTAATATGATTAGGATAACTTGGCTATAAAAGGGAGTGTTAGGTCTTGCAGTCAGTCGTTTTTGCAACAAACACACAAACCCTTCAGCCATTTTCTCTCAAAATAGTTTTTGGGAAAACAAATATTGCTCTCAATCGGGTGAACTGAGTAGAAGCCGAGACGTGATTTCGTGGAGGATTTCGATTCGAATCGATCTACACCACCGTATTCACTGTTGTTCTTGGTGTTTTCAAGGAACCCACTGTAAGTATTCGCATCTCTTCCTCCCGATTTCAGTTTTTCGTACTTGGATCGCTGGTGAGACCGTCGAGTTTTGTTTCCGCTTTCCCAACAGTTTTGTCTTTTCCTTTGTTGGTTGGTTGAAATGTAATTACATTGGTTTTGATCTCCGCTGACCAATGAAAGCAGAATCCTGTTTTTCTACTTCGGAAAATCCGTTGCATTCTTTTCGATTTGGATTTACTAACGAAAATAAGCAAAAACATATAATCTACTCATAATTATATTCTATGAAATTAATTTCATTTTCTTTTTTATAAATATTTCCCAAAATTATTTACATTGGGATTTTGAGGACATTGGCAGTTTTACATCATGGCGAAAGGTGCCTCACCATTAGGCCTGTAAACGAACAGAACACACACGAACGAAGGTATGCTCATATTCGTTCATTTAATAAATAAACGAACATAAGCGAACAAAATTTTTTTGTTCATGTTCATTTATTAAGGAATATAACTTGTTCATGTTCATTCATTTAATAAATAAACGAACATAAACAAACACGAAAATAAACAAATACGAACATAAACAAACACGAACATAAACGTTGGAGACCCTACCTAGGGGTGTAAACGAGCCGAGTCAAGCTCGAGTATTGCTGAGCTCGACTCGAACTCGAAAAAACTTTCAAAGTCAGCTCGACTCAAAAACTCGCGAGCTTAAAATATCAAGTTCAACTCGAGCTCGAAATATAATATTGAAACTTGACTCAAACTCGAAAAGGCTCGAACTCAAAAAAAATTTAAGAGCTCGATTAAAACTCAAGAATCGAGCTCGATTGAAGCTCGATTCTAAGATCGATTCAAGCTCGATTCTGAGCTCGATTCAAGCTCAATTCAAGCTAGACATTTCCCCAAGCGCAAAGATGCTTAAACTTTTTCTCCCCCATCTTCTTTTATATAGGTTACCAACCCCGAGCTGCTTGTTTGCTACTGATGTGGGATTGCATAACGTTCCTCCACTTTCTTTCTTCCTCTATCCTTCAACAACAGTCGAGATGAACACAGATTGTGTTTCATGTGATTGCGGACCTTAATCCTTGGGGATCAAACAAACATGTCCTTAATTTCGTGCTATGTACAAGTTGAAAATTGGGATTCCACTTTGTTCATCGGATAACCTACTGGTGTCGCAGTCATATAGGGTTCCGGCACAGTGGATGTTGATGGTGTTGGGTATGCAGCTTATGAATCGTTCAAAAAGAACTAATCCATGTTAATATTGTTGGGTTTTCCAAATAAAATTGGGTTAATTATGGAGTTGCTCATCAGAATATCAGATTAATTAATATTTTTAAGATACTTACAAATTGGTCACCAAAATTGATTTAAGAAGATTGGGTTAAACATAAATGAATGAACATAAACGAACATAACCAAACGAACATAACTGAACGTTCACGAACGTAAATGAACGAATGAGACCTATGTTAATGTTCATTCATTTAATAAATAAACGCACATAAACGAACTTCCCGCCGCACGATTTATGAACGGTTTGGTGAACGTTCAGTTCATTTACAGGCCAACTCACCATGTCCAATAGTGGATTTGAAGCCTTAAACCTAACCTCATCTCGATTTATGATCGCCGTGGATGAGACTAAAACCTTGGCCAATAGTGGATTGAAGTCTTAATATTTAGTTAATCGATTGACGGAATAGGCCAAGAGGGGGGTGAATTGGCAATTAGAAAAATTTGTGGAAGCTTTTGCAGAAAATTGAAAGTAATTGCACAGTGATTTAGAGTGGTTCGACTTTATCAACCAAAGTCTATGTCCACAACCTTAGCTATCCACACTAAGGATTTTCTAACAAATTCACTAATTTGTTCTTTCTTTTGAGGCCAAAGAGATAACCTTACACCTCCCTCAAAAATATACCCCAATTCTTGAGAACACTCTTTTCTCAAAGAGAAGATTACAAATTTGCAAACATACAAGAAAAACCTCACAAGGCAAATATGTTTGCACAATTCTAGAACAAAAAAAGAACACTCAAGAATAAATACGATTGAGCATAATAAGTGTTCTTGAAAGCAAAATGAATATTGAATGAAAAATAGGCTTGCAATGCTCAAACTTGAGGTTTGATGCTTTCTCTTTGATTCTCTCTTGATTTTAGTTTCTTGATGTTTCTTGTTATTGGTCAATGGCTTCTAAGCTTGTTTAAATACACCTTGAATCACTTCTGAACGTTGGGGATGATTAGTGGAGTCAATAGAGCCGTTTAAGTGTGAAAATAATTAATTAAAACAGTTGGGAGCGTCAGTGCATCGATGCATACCCATGCTGTATCAGTGCATCAATGTAAGATTCAAATATTTTGATCATTGGACCCTTAGTGCATCGGTGCACTAAGAGTGCATCGATGCATCAAGTGCATTCGATGTTTCAAAATAGCCAGAGTGCATCGATGCATGGTTGGTGCATCGATGCATCAAATACATTCGATGTTTTTATAAAATCCTTAGTTCATCGGTGCATGGTAAGTGCATCGATGCATGAAATGCATTCAATGTTCAATTTAATTCATGGTGCATTGATGCATGGATTGGTGCATCGATGCATCACTCTGAAAAATTGATTTTAGGCTTGATTTTGATTCAAAATACATTGTGAAAATTGTTTTAAAAAATTTATTAAGTATAAAACATAATTTTACACATTTAGTAAGGTTTGAAATTGATCTTAAAAAACTTGGAGTAATAATTTGATATTCGATTAATTGAATCGAATATATTTAGAAAATTATTTGTAAAATCTTAAAATTAATTTAAACTAATTTTGTAATATCGAAATACAAAAATGTTTTCAACAATCTCCTCCTTTTGATATAACAAAACATTTGTGTTAATTTAAGATTTTCTAAAATTTGAAATCAATTTTGAAAAATTACTCCCCCTTACTATAACACTTTTCCCTTAAAACATAACATTTCCTTAAAACATAACATTTCTCCCCCTTTTTGTTAAATCAAAAAAGACTTAAAATCGATTTATACAAGGTTTTGAAAAAATAGCCAATTGATATATATATATATTATATATATATATATAGTTTAAGCTGCTAAGATCACAATCAAAAGAAAGATTAGCCATTAGTTTCATAATCAATATTCATAATAAAATGTTAAATGGTAAATTGGTCATATTTCAACTAAAAGGTAAATGATGCATATATTGAAACAAACCAAAATATATATATGAAATAAAGGTTCAAATATCCATCAAACAGTCATCCAACAATCAAAGAAAGACAATCCAAAATGTTTTAACAATTTAAATTCAAGTTCAACCCAAAAACAATCAAAGTAAAACAAGTCTATTCATCCATAGAAGGATCGGCGGGAGGAGGAGGGTAACGAGCTCTCATCTCAAGCGTGAGTGCATCCAAACGATCATTCATATCTTGTTGTTGAGATCCCAAGGTAGAGAGCTGAGACTCAATGAATGTGAAGCGTGAATCCATGGACGCATACCGTAAATCAAATGTCTCCAAAAACGAACGAAAATATGGAGGCATTTGATCTTCTTGTGGAGCTGGTTCCAGTGCGGGCTCATCATCAGGTACGTGATCATCGATGTCTTGCATAAGTTTTTGAAATTCAGGATCATCGTTAGAAGCTGGAGGAGGAGGAGGAACACGAGAGGAGCTCGGAACAGCCTGTGAGGAACTAGCTCCCGGAGTTTATTTTTCGGGTCTAAAAACCCATTGACCGGTTACCCCGTCTTGTTTCCAATCTGCTTTCTTCAAGGATGTGAGATTGATTTGATTTTGGATTGGGATAGGATTGTCGAGAGACTTCTAGACCAAGTTTGATAAAGAGATTACTAAGAGAATCCATAAATCAATGTTTCAACATGTTTTGAAGGAACAATGTTTACGATGTCCACTAGTGGACTGAAAATAATGTGGGGCATATTTATTTTGATTTTATTTTTAATACAATACATCCACCATAAATCCTTAGCATGAAGTATGGAGTACCTACCTCCGGATGGTCTAAACCACCAAGAGATCATCAAATGGAGAAAACGATCATGATGAGATCGTAGAGTACTAACACTGGAGTTTGGAACATAGGGATATTCCACATTTTCATTCCCATTTATACACCACTATCTAACCCAAATCGGAAAGCTATAGTCTCGGGGTCAATATTAATATATTGGCCTAAAAGATAGGATCTAATGGCTATAGTTCCACATTGAGTTTCATTTTGAATACACACCACATTGGAATAGAAAATGCGGACCAATTGTTGATAGACGATAGGTTTAAGCTTAAATAATTTATCAAACTTCCAAGCTTTAAGAGTCGGAAGGTATTCGAAGTCAATGTCAACCATGGTTTGAAGCGAAGGAATACGCTCTTTGCGAATTCTATAAGTTTGGAAAGAATTTCTATACCTTGAGTACAATTTGTCTCTACGACGCTCAGGCATGTTAAAACAAGATCCTAATAGAGTTGAAGGTGGAGGAGAAATGGGATTAGGAGGTTGGTTTGAACGAGAACGACTTGACGAAGTCCTAGGGCATTTGGGATTAGACATTGTTTAGGAATCGAAAAACGGAATATAACCTGCAAATTTAAACACATGTATGCACAATAATCAATCCCAAAACTCAATTGAGTCCTCAATAATTCAAGGTTATCTAAACCGAATCCTAATGGGCAAGGTTTTGAAAACTATAAAATAATATTTGTAAAATCATAATATGTATAGTTTTCATAAAAACAACATAATTAAATAAAAATTTATTTCAGATTTTTGATTTTTTTTTATTTCAAAAATTTACAAATTTATTTAAAATTTATGAGTTTTTGATGAAATTAGTTGTAAAAACTAGTTTGTAATCATCAAACTATCAATGCCCGATATAATCTTCATCCTAGAACTAATTAAAACTAGTCCTAAGATCAAAAATTAATAAAATAGGGTTTTTGAAATATTACCTTGAAAATTTCGGATTTGAGAGGAATTGATGTTGTTTGCACGATTGATGATAAATGCAGGATTGGGAGTTGAAAAAACTCGAGGATTCCAACAATATTTTGTTGATTTTAAGCAAAATGAGATTTTAGAGAGAGAGGAGAGGGCGAACGGCATGAGTGTTTTAGAGTTAGGTTTTGAGAGATGAAGAAAAAGGGGTTTTATCTAAAAACCCGACAGATGCATCGATGCTAACCCCGTACATCGATGCACATTCAAGGCGTGCATCGGTGCATCATCATGATGAATCGATGAACATTCAAAGGGATGCATCGATGCATTGTTAAGTGTATCGATGCATGAAACACAGAAATGTCAAAAATCCGTTTTAAACACTTAAAATGCTAAATTAATTTGTTCTAGTGGTATTGGCAACTCATATATTGAAAATTAATCATGTTCAATCAATCAAATTAATCTTTAAGCAATATTTGAACATAAAATTAATTTTCACCAAATATAAACTCCCCTAACTAATAGCAAAGAATGCAATAAAAAATTACCATTATAAGCATTTTTCATTTATTCTTAAAAGTGCTAAATTATTTTAACTACTAAGTGAAGATAGGTCAATTAAACCTAATTCTCTCCTAAGTGTCCAAAATATTTCCTTGTCTAAAGGTTTTGTAAAGATATCCGCTAATTGATGCAAAGTATCAACAAATTCTAGAACTACATTTTCCTTACTGACATGGTCTCTAATGAAGTGATGTCTTATTTCAATGTGCTTAGTTCTAGTGTTGGATGGATTTTTAGTGAGACAAATAGCACTAGTATTGTCATACTTGATAGGAATGGTACCTACTTCAATTCCATAATCAAAAAGTTGTTGTTTCATCCATAAAACTTGTGCACAAAAACTATCGGCTGAAATGTATTCCGCTTCAGTGGTAGATAATGCAACACAATTTTGTTTCTTTGAAAACCAAGAAATCAACATATTTCCAAGGAATTGGCAAGTACCGGAGGTGCTTTTCCTATCTAATTTGCATCGCATGCTAAAGCTAGAGTCTCTATGATACCAAAGTCCTAAACTAGGAGTGTCCTTAAGGTATCTAAAGATTCTCTTAACAGCTAGTAAATGTGATTCCTTAGGACATGATTGAAATCTAGCACATAAGCAAACACTAAACATAATGTCTGGTCTACTTACAGTTAGATAAAGTAAAGAGCCAATCATTGACCTATATAATTTAACATCTAAGTCCTAAACTAGGAGTGTCCTTAAGGTATCTAAAGATTCTCTTAACAGCTAGTAAATGTGATTCCTTAGGACATGATTGAAATCTAGCACATAAGCAAACACTAAACATAATGTCTGGTCTACTTACAGTTAGATAAAGTAAAGAGCCAATCATTGACCTATATAATTTAACATCTACATATTTACCTCCTTCATCTAAGTCAAGCTTTGTTGAAGAGCTCATTGGAGTGTCATGAGGTTTGCCATTTCCAGTCCAACTTCTTGAGCATATCTTGACGTACTTATCTGATTGATGAAGATACCATCTTTCTTTGTTTGATTTGGAGTCCCAAGAAAAATGAGAGCTCCCCTATCAGCTCATCTCAACTCACTTTGCATTAGCTTAGAAAATTCTTGGCAAAGAACATCATTAGTAGACCAAATATTATATCATCAACATAAATTTGAGCTACTAATAAATCTTTACCTTTATGCTTTAAAAACAATGTAGTGTCAACCTTCCCTTTTGAAAAACCTTTTTCAATTAAAAAGTTTGACAATCTTTCATACCAAGCTCTAGGAGCTTGTTTTAAACCATAAAGTTCTTTTGTCAATTTAAGAACATGATCCGGAAATTTTGAATCTTCAAAACCTGGAGGTTGTTCCACATACACTTATTCTTTTATAAAACCATTTAAAAATTCACTTTTAACATCCATTTGATATAATTTAAATTTATGAAAACATGCAAATGCTAATAACATTCTAATTTCTTCCATCCTAGCTACGGGAGCATATGTTTCATCATACTCTATGCCCTCTTCTTGAGTATACCCTTGAGCAACAAGTCTAGCCTTGTTTCTCACTATATTACCACTCTCATCAAGCTTATTCCTAAATACCCATCTAGTACCTACAGTAGATTTATTACTAGGCCTTTCAACTAATGTCCATACTTTACTTCTCTCAAACTTATTTAATTCTTCTTGCATAGCCATAATCCAATGTTCATCATTTAATGCTTCTGTAATATTATTAGGCTCTATGCATGAAATAAAGGCAACAAAATTACAAATATTTATAAGAGAAGATCGAGTTATTACCCCTTTTGATGGATCACCTATAATCTCACCATCCTTGACATAGTTGTACTCTCTTGGATAAGATACTTCAATTTCTTCAATGGTTGGATTCTCAAGAGGATCATGAGTTTCTTCATCTTTCGTCTCTTCCTTTGATGATGATTCTCCAAAGTCGTATTTAACGTCATTTGTATTTATAATACCTACATCATCATTCATACAAGAATCCTTCCTCGGAAGGGGATTATCATCGAAAACAACAAACTCTTCTACAACTAAGTTCTTTTATTAAATACTCGATAAGCTTTAGAATTTAAGGAATAACCTAGAAAAATTCCTTCATCACTTTTAGCATCAAATTTGGCAAGGTTTTCTTTACCGTGTTCAAAAACAAATTCACATCCAAAAGGATGAAAATAACTAATGTTAGGCTTTTTATTTTGAAAATTTCATATGGAGTTTTTTTTAAAATTGGCCTATCATTACTCGATTTACAACATAACAAGCGGTATTTGTGGCTTTCCGCCCAAAAATTTTTGGCAAATTATTTCACAAAGCATAGTTCTAGCCATTTATTCTAAAGTTTGATTTTTCCTCTCAACACTCCATTTTGTTGAGGGGTTCTAGGTGCTGAAAAATTATGGCTAATACCATTAGAATTACAAAACTCAATAAACCCCATTTTGGATTATTTTGAAAATGTAATGAAATATTCTAATGCTTCATCTTTAGTACTTAAAAATAGAACCCAAGTATATCTAGAATTGTCATCTACCAAGACAAATGCATATTGTTTTTCACCCAAGCTAGTAGTTCTAGTTGGCCCAAAAAGATCTATATAGATCAATTGTAATACTCTACTAGTTGATACGTCATTAATGGATTTAAAAGAAACTCACTTTTATTTTCCTTTAGCACAAGCATCACAGATTTTATCATTTTCAAATTTAAGTTTAGGCAGCCCTCGAACCAATTCTCCTTGAACTAACCGTTGCAAAACACTCATGCTAGCATGTCCTATTCTCCTATGCCATAACCAACTATCATGCTCATCCTTTGCAACTAGGCATAAATTAGTCATTTCTATAGAGTCTAAATGCACCATGTATATGTTTCCTATTCTATGACCAACAAGCATAATCCTATTAGATACAATGTCAATGACTTTACAACCATTAGTTTCAAATATGACATTGAATCCCTTATCACATAATTGACTAATACTCAAGAGATTATGCTTTAATCCATTCACATATAACATATTTTAAATTTGTATGGAAGAGGTATTACCTATTATACCTATACCTTCAATGTGACCTTTAGAATCATCACTAAAAGTCACTGCTCCTCCATTTTTGGCGTTAATCTCTATGAACCGGTTTTTGTCCCCGGTCATGTGTCTCGAGCGTCCACTATCAAGGTACCATGAATTTAGATTTGTTTCTCGTGCCTTGTAGCAATGCTCCTTTTCCTACAAACATAGATTAATTTTTGATTTTTGGTTCCCAAATTCTTTTGGGTCCATATTCATTAGTTTCCAAAATCCTAGTCCCCT